CCGCATAGCCTTGTGTTTTCCGGCTACGAAATGTGTAGGTATATATTGTAAGAGGGCTGTTTCCGGACTGGATAAATTTTGCTTGTGTTGGCAAATATATGAGGGGACGTAGGTATCCCTTTTTGTAATATAATTTTACGTCGTAACATAGATAGGTAGATAGATTAGGTAAAGACGGAGGCTGTGATTTGATTTGATTAGGAGGTGTTTGCAGTAGGGCCGGGGGAGATAACGCTGATTGGATCGTTCAGGGGGCGCGGGCTTATGGAAATATGTTTTTAATGTGGGTGGTTTATTGAATTAGTGAGTTAGTGTGAAGTGACGCGGGAGTAATCCGCTTGATGTATCGTGTTGATAGTTAACTCGATGTTCAATGGTTCGGTAATATAATGTAGATATCAAATATGTGTTCTAATGACTATCCAACCAGGAATGTTGTTCTGATCATTATGGAGGTAACCTCATTGTGTTTTAATATAGCTCATCGTTTGTTGCCTGAAAAGCATCTTTATACCATTAGAAAATGATTCTTTTTCTAAACACAGTGTCAAGAACTTTAATTATCTATTTCTTTACTTAGAAAAACAAGATAAACATGATAACAAAGATAGTTGTAGCTAAATGTCAATGGGTAAATAACTAAATCTCAATACCTAGGTATACATGCTATCACATACATGATAGTAAATATAATTTAAAAATTTAGTTAGTAACTCTTCCCTTATTCTGTGTCTTTGCACTTTTCTACAGTAGCGACGGCTTACCACACGTTGAAAGCCAAAAGTACTAAGAAAGCCTTGAAGTGAAAGTGAAGTACATCCTACCTACCTCTAAATATTATCATTCGTCATTTCATTGCAAGAGTCATATCCTTTTTTATCCATATCATCTCTACATTTTCTTCAGAAACTGATGCTTCGAGGAAGCTCAAAGCATCAGTTTCCTCCATACATTAAACTCTTCACGCAATTCCTAAGCGGATACATCCTCATCACATGTTCTTTGTAAAAAACCATAATTCCTTAACATACTTATGTCCTCTACATGCGGTCATCACATTTTTGGAAAACGGTATTTGTTTTGTACGTACAAAAGAAATGTTTTGTTTGCTTCACAATCACAAAAGAAATTCTAGTTGTCACAGCGCATGCTCTTTGAGCTTCCACTGCCTTGAAAATTGAAGTACCGTAGACAATACCTAGTGGATAATGTTTGTGATCGTTTTTATCTTTGTCGGTGTTTGTTTGGTATGTTTTTGCCGTGCATGTGAGATATCGATCCAAGTGGAATGCCGTTGACAGTGAAATGGGTTTAACAATTAATAAACCTCTCTGATTGATATGGACACGTGTTCACATTCTTTAAATATTTCAAGTTTTCACTCTAGGATTTCGTTTTTTAGATGCTAGAACTTTTTCATATTTATTTATTTTTCATTTGCTCTAATGAAAATTATGAAATCGGAAGATTTAAATAAGATAATTGGAGAAGGTTTAGCTTTAGTATATATTGAAAGAAAGTCTATAAAGTTTATGTTTCTTTATGGCTATGGTTGTTAATATTAGATCTCTTTTGAGGTTAGGAAAAATATTATCTTTATAAAAAATAATTCTCAGTTGATCGTCATTTAATGATGTAGAGGGGTAGTCAATCTCTCTACATAGGTAATATGTATACACACTATGTTAACAGAAAACATGATACATCGAAGAGAGTATCAATAATTGTCACTTTAATTTTATGTACATAATTACAATATTCCCTTTATCAAAGATAAACTTATATTGTCGTAGGTCATCCAAATCCGTTTCACTGGCAAGGTCCGCAGCGCCCAATAAATGACCGCTATAAAAAATAATCCGAGTCGTAAAGTTTATGACTTTTGCAGCCATTTCAGCGCTTGAGGAGAGAAAGTAATTCGTCCATAAAATTACGAGTAAACAGCCGTTTTTCCTCGGAAATAAAACCACCCGGGGGTCGAGCTGAGGGGTGAAGTGACTCCTGTAATCGGCTTAGGCAGAGAGCCCCTCTGATTTAGTTTTAAACCCCTCTCGTGGGACCATGCATGATGCACTAACTGTTATAACTTGATGAGAACTCTTATCTCAACATTATATAATCCGATTCGGATAATTGAGTTGTAAACTGGTACAGTTAATTTTCGTATTAAGGGAATATGCCTCTATACGTTCGGTATTGTGCTTTTGATATTACTGAAACAGTAACGTTATAATTACATTACAGTAATTATTAATTTAGATTTGCTGTAGCATTCAATCCGTACCGAGATGATCTGTTTTCCTACTATCTTATTATTTAGTATGATATATCTGACTTAGTGCATATTTTAATTTCCGAAAGTGCGTTAATGTATTTATTTGTCTGTGATGCTATTTATATGTTGACGTAAATCATAATAGAACTAAATAGCGTACCTTTAAAAGCATTACAAAAACAACAACACATCACATTGACATGAGGGCTAGTAAAAAAATATTACAGGTGGCCCTGTACATCGATATATCAATTATTATTAAACTAAGTTATATATGAGTTAAAAAGTACAAAAATACCAGCAAATAACCAAAGTAAAAATAAAAGAAGGCAGCTCAACTCATATGTCACAAACGCAACGTCAAGTCCAACAAGTCATCTCAGCCAATGGGAAAAAGTGTGTGTTATAGGCCCGGCTAATATAACCAGCTCTAATCTTATTGAGCACAAAGGAGCTGCCATGACGCGGCGAATATTGACGCAAACCATTTAATATTTAGGTATTTCGATATGCAGTAGTACAGGCGAGAATAAATGTGTTACGGGCTGTAGTATTATTTGTCAGTTATTTAATTACTTAAATATAATTCTAAAAAATAAAGAACCATATAAAGAACCGTTTTATTTTATCAATCAAATTATAAACATCGCTGCAAATACTCCGGCTTGATTTAATTATTGCAAAAAAATATTAAACTTCGATTTTCAAAGATAACAAGATAAGATAGATAAGATACAATTAAATAGGTTTACTTCGAAATTTAAAATTTGAAAAAAGCTATTGCTAATTGTAAAATCTAATAAATTAGTTTGATACTGATCAAGTTAAATCGAGTTAAATTAATTCTACCTTCTATAGAAGAAGAAAAAATAGATTACTTGCAAATCACTTTTTGAGCAGACAATTCCTAAATTCAGTGAAGGTTATACTCGTAGAGAAGATAAGATTAGAGAGTATCAAAAAAATATGTTGTAGCAATTTTGTTGTAAAGTTATTTATCAGATTTTAGAATTATAATTTAGTGCGATAATGATTGTGGAATCGATTGACTCTTACGTCATTTTAGTTTTTCCAAGAAAACACATTGTTTTGCTATTTGATACTGCGCACTGAAAATCAGTACTGGGACGGTCCACCTATGTTGTGGGACACATCGTACAAAACTCATCAACATAAGCTATCGATGTAGTTGAGAGTCCTACTTAATTACGTACAATATGTAGTTTTTCTTCCCTTTTGTACCATAAATAACCTAAAGTTATACCTATGACCCCAGATAACGTGATTAAGGATATATGACATCGCCTTGTGTTGCACGTATAATATGTGCACGTATTTATGTATTCTTTGTTTTTTTTTCCTATCAACATAAGTTGTATGTTTTTTAATTTATATGTATAAAACATCCTTAACTTTTTAACTGATTACTTGATTTATAATGAATTAATTAATTACTTTATAGTTTTAAATACAAAATCTAAACATATTTGTTAAAAAATATGTAAGTCATATACTGTTGAAGTAATGACATTAACTACTTTTGAGTGTCAATGTACTTGCCGTGGCCGGAGACCGACACAGTCACTTACAATATTAAAACGGACAATACAGCGGTACGATAGTCACGATAATCTTTGGTAGTATTCGATTCTAGTTACCGAGAATACCGCAACTGGTGTCCCGAATAGTTCACTTCTCTGTTTTACGACCTCAATACTTTTTATCCAATAAATAACATGACAAATTAATGGATATATTATGAGTCGGATTGCGTCGGCTCTTTTTATTTTATGTGTCGGGTTAGGACGAATGCATTTTTAATTGAGTGAGGCACTTTTGTGGACTGTACAAAACGGCCACCGCATGTCGAGGATATTTTTTGTTTGATTGACGGGTGGTAATGGGCAGGTGCGTAAGAGAGTCGATAGCTACCTCGCTTTTTCAATTCCTATATTCCCTTTTTATACGATTACTTCGTTTTGCGAAGCGACTCAGTGTTTTGAGTGTACTGTTTTTAACATACGTTTTATTAATAGGTCACTAAATTTGGCCAATGCGAAATAATGTTCTTTTTTTATACTTTAAACTTCTTGAATGCAATGTTAAATTGTATTAATTAAGATAGTAATTGCTCGTCGTTATGCCGAGATCATTGTGTTCATCAATTTAACGAGTTAGTAATTATATTATTTGTTTTTATATTGTAATTTACTCTATAGTTCATTATTTTAAAGAGTACATAGGTTAAACATTGAATACCTAACAAAATTTATTTGCATATGCTACGAATAATAAATGTAGAGTAAATACTTGGTGGTTATTTAATTCCTCTGCATTGTGTATTCAGTGTTAAATACAAATTATTTTATATAGTTCAAATCTCCTAAAATTTCACGATAAAAATTAAAAGTACCTTATAAACTATTTTTTTATTTTTTTTATTATCTGTTTTTATATTTATTTCATACATAACCAAAAATCACATTAGAACTCCATTAATACGGTATGGCGTTAGCGAAAACAGCATTAAGTATGACTAGTACTAAATATTCATAAAACACATACACATATAATAACATACAATTTCTTAAATATGTCACCATTTGGAATTCCAAAGTAAAAGTAGGTTTCCAAACTCAAAAAAGGTTTTTAATTCCTAGAAGTACGTCTAGCTTGATATTTATAAAGCTAGCATTATTTAAAGTCATATATTTATTGTTGACAGTCACTACAAAGTGCAGCGAGACGAGCAGGGACATCGTGTGCTAACTGCAAGACGACAACCACGACGTTGTGGCGACGCAACCAGAATGGAGAGCCTGTGTGCAACGCCTGTGGACTCTATTACAAACTACATAATGTGAGTATTTCTAAAGCAAGATTATTCATTGACTGACCTGACTGACTCACCGCTGCTCCAGAGGTTTTGGACTCTATTTCCACCGGACAAATTATTATCTGATAACTACGATAAATTGTTATGTATTTTGTGCATAATTTTAGTAAAATTTAAGTGTGTATATTAGTGGTCTGGTTACCATAGCAGTGGCTCTACCTAGCTTGAGATCAGACGGCCGTGTGTGACAGAAGTCTCAAGTAAATTCTGTACAAGCTAAAACTTTTTCAAACTGGATTGATGAAATAATGTTTAAATATACATACTTCTTAACATAATGTTTAATAAAGATAACATAATTCAAAGATCTTTGTATTATATTCCACGTAACAATTTTAGATGCAGTTCGGTTGGTGAATAGCATTTATATCCGCTTGTATTATATAATATTAACGATTAAATTATATGAGGAACTGACTAAAACCGGTTTAAACGGAAGGCATTATAACGGGTTTATTTGACTTCTTAATTTTTTCATAAAATATGTCTCAACTATACTCGTAATGTTTGCATAAAACACTATTTTAAACTTTTTATAAGGTAACGGCGTACATAAAAAAATTAATGGGTCATTAACCCAAAACCGATAAAAAATAAATTTTAAATCCAAATATTCATAAATCTACATAAATTATTTCTAAAAATAATGTTTATAATGACACTAACAAATACGAAATAAACAAATAAAGAAGCAAATTCTAACGGCCACTGCGCACTCGAGATTTTTAAGCAACCGATAGTGTGACAGTTCTTACAATCAGCATGAAGCTTTATGCTAATTCGCGCTTTAACTTAAAATTATTAAAAAACGTAAATAGATTTAAAATTAATCATTACTGATCAAACCATCGACAGCCCGATTAATCAAACTATCGAGCAACTATCGGCCATTACTTATCACGTGTGAAACAATTATAATTAAACTATTGACGGACAGTCAATCGAATGCACCGTACGGCCGTATATACATACATATATAATACTAAACAGTTAATACATATTTTTAGTACAGGAACAGTTCGTGGATTACTGTAATCAGTTTTAGATAAAATATTTTCTGCCTTCCTAGTCTACACGATCGATACACAATTCATCTCAAGATTATACTATAGAGTTATGGGTTTTAGTCGTCAGACGACAGTGACTAGTTTAGAAATCATTAGTGTGTGGTGACTCTAAGTTAAACTTGACTGCGAATTGATTAAAATTTATAAAACGAAAAATTCCGTACACGTTTCTTTAAATCGTATAAATTAACATATCAATAAAACATACATTCTAAATTAAAATTAAAAAACAAGTAGCCATTTATAAAATGACACTAATAAAGAAGAAATATCTGCACTCATAGTTAATCTCGAGGTTGGTAGAGATTGGTTCCCTCAGGACGAGTTGACGGTATCTTAGTGACAGATAACCAGAGGGTAGGGGCCCCAGCTAATGCGTCATAAAACCAAATTCGATTGTCTCAAATGAATTACGATGTCGATACCATCGCTAAACGGTTAAACAACACTACGCTTTGAACTGATAAAAGTGATCAATTTCTGACTTTCCTACAGGGGTGATTTTTGGTAAAATTGCTATTGTATTTTTAAGAGCGTGAGCCAGCATGACATGCCATAGACGTAGTTTACTCTGTATGTTTTTAAAATTATGTGCAAACTTAAAATAGACTCTTACTTATAATCTATCTTAATAAAGTCATCTACATAACTTTAATTTCTAACGTTATTCTATTAACTATATTGTGTATCTCTGAAACAGACGGTGGCAAAATGAAATCAGCAATAAGATTGCACAGAGATCGTAGATAAAACATTACCGAACAATTTAAACAATAGTAGCGTTTTCAATATCCGGCTTAGAAATAACAAAAATAAAACCTGTTGTGCATCTAACAAGATGTTGCGATTAAATGTCAAGCAGCACTAAGTAACGATTCTCACGACTCTCAAACCCCGGAATGAAAACAATGAGAAACCCTCACGCGACTGCGCCGTTGATGAACAAAAAAGTACAAACGCTATTACACCAGTAAGCAACAATGACAAAAATTAACTGTCAAAGCGACCCTTCGTTGAGGGCTCTCCACATTTTTTTGCATTGAAATGTATACTTTATTGCCTTTTACGAGCATCAGAGCAACAATGTTGTTTGCTCTAATTATTCGGAAGGAGCGACAAAGGAGCGAATGGGAGTGCCAGCTACTTTAGACGTTTGAAGGTATAATGACGGGAGCACAATACTGGTATGCCAGTAGCATTGTCGGGGTCTGTGCCCGCCTCTCCATACATATTTATACCCGGCGAGAACATCTCGATTCAATAAATTATTTGTTATAATTCTCTTGCCAAAATCATGTAAAAGAATATATAAATGTTAATTGTATGTATTCCAATTTTCAGTACTTTACACTTTTTATCTTCAAGCATATTTTAATATTTCCATAGCGAATCAATTTTCTACTTGAAGCGAAGATTCTAAATGTATTTGAATAATTTTATACGTAGATAGGTACGTAATATAAACTTGTACTTGGACATAATAATCGAATACTTTCATAAATTAAATTATAGATAATTTGTGTCGACCGTGTTTAAAATTCTTAAACCTTGTGAAGAGAATATTAATGTGAATTACAGGCGTTTCTCCTGAGCCTTACAATAACATCAGTCCGTTTTTTAATACGTTTGTGAAGCTAAAAACTATTTTTGTCTCCATTTTCATATTGGATGATAAGATGGCGTCGCAATATAGTGTTGATTTAATCTAAAATGACACTAATAATCTCAATTTTGCCTTTGCATGGGATGAAGTACTAGTTGCAGAAAATGATATTGGATTAAACGGCTGTATGCGAACTAACTCAATTAGAACTGTGTAAATAATCCGGTTTTACTAATAAAAGTTTACGTTATAAAATACAAATCTATTAGCAACTCGCTAGCACTTTTGCTTTATTATATTGACGTAGTAATTCAAAAGATATCCTAAATCCTGTCTACCTGTACAAATAACAATAACACTAAAGCGGTTTCGGAAGCCGATTGCATATGTATAAAGCTTTTAAAAGCAAATTTAATGTAACAATGTGTAAATAAATACAGTTTAATATTAGCCGGCCCTTAATGCGGGCATCGTGATCGATTTCACTCAAAAAATGCAACTCATATAACAAAGCAAAGCGTATTGTGATCCTGAGCCATCGAGACCGGTGTCACCATCCCACGGAGCCTTAATAATCTTGATACTTTATGATAAATATAAAAAATGTGAACAAAACTTCGGTGGTATAATCTATATGTAGCCTGATTGCGGCTATCGTGCGGAGCGAGAGTGCGTGGAACTCTGCCGTGGAACGGCGGAGCGGGACTGGGAGAGGTTTAGAACTCTCCCGGCCCGCCAGGCCCGGGAACGAGCCAGGTACCGCAGGCGACTCAGGTGCCGGAGGTTGCAGAACGACTTCCGTCCTCCATAAGCGCAGGCCTGGGGGTGACAGGTGAGGCCATCTGTCACCCTAGCAGAAACAGGCTGGGGTGGCGGCGAGCGCGTTTCGAGTCCGACATGCCACCGATAGGTGGTATCCGAGGGGACTACCGCACGGAAAAAAAAGGGTACAGCTAGTGGTTAATATATTTCTCTGTAATAGCCCTGCCTTTTGTTGCTTTTTCCAAAGTTCTTAAAAAATACAAAATTGCTTTTATGTTGTCATATTACCAGAAGGAAATAAAGCTAAAGAATGCATAGGGATTTTCTTAATACTTGTTTTATTTTTTCAAGTACTGCGTGCAAAGCGACGAAGATTATAGTATCAAAATCGTTTGAGCCACGTATTATCCAAACAATGTTCAAGTGTGTTTACTCAAAATATATCCTTTAAAGGTCCTTATTGTGTATAACTTAGCTATAAATGCCCATAAGAGTTCAAATTGCCCTCATACAGCCGACAAACCGACAAGGCTCTTGTTATTCTGGACTAAAGACCATATAGACCTTGTTTCGTGTTTGTTTTAAAAACGTATTATTGGATTGTGATACTGTTTTGTTTTGATTGATGTGGGAACTCGTTGACTTTATGTATTTTGTTTTATAAAATGTTTATGTGTCGAGGAGAGCTTCTCGAGGTTCTTACTTTGTTTTTATAGCCTACTTAAACTTTTTGAAATAATTGTATAATTGACTCTTATTATTAATCATGGGAACTAGGGCGTAGTTTTTTAAACATAATAGATTTCTTTAATGTTTTAATTTCAGTTAAGTTTAATTATAAATTGTAAATTTGTTAGTAATATTTTTAAATTTTAATTTGTTTCTCGGGTTTGCCTAATATTAAGTTTTCATCAGTGCCTATAACAATTGAAATATGAACATCCTCTTTATATATTCTTACTATTAGATCTCTGGACTAGTGACACATTTGGTATTTCGGGTTGTTCCGTCTTCATCCCACTACGTCATTTTCTTAACTGATCCCAGTTTTTATTCCACATTCATCCCTTGGCATTTTTTTAACTGCTGTTTGAATATCTTGAGAACTTAGTCTAATGAAAGGGGTTCTGTCGGTCCCACTCTATGGTAATTCTGTGTCCTCTTCTTTATCAGTATTCGTGAACACTTGAATATGTGTCCTATACAGAAATGATATTGGTTTTCAAGTAAATTACATACCAAAATACGCATTGGGAAACTTTTATATTCCTTATAACTTTATTAAATAATTGAATAAGTTAAGTGCATGGTTGTGCTATCCATACTTTTTCAGTACTTGGGATGTTGGGATGAATTAAGAATAGAAATTGTGCTAAATTAAGAATAACAAATTAATTTTAAAGGTGGGATGAGTACGGAATAAGCATCTGGAATGATATAAGAACTGGATGAGATTCAGTGGGATGAAGACGGAACAATCCGGTCTTTCGATGATCAGTAAACTATGGTAACCATTTACCATCACAATTGTC